CTGCTGCTGCCGCAGCTGCTGCTGCCGCAGCTGCTGCTGCTGCAGCTGTTGCTGCCGCAGCTGTTGCTTGTGCAGCTGTTGCTGCTGCAGGTATTCGTGCTGCTGCTGCACCAGCAGTAGCGAATGCACCCGGAGGGGCCTAGGACCCGCAGGGCCCCCCATATCCGCCCCTTGTTTGTCTCAGCAGCAGCAGCAGGAGTTGCTGCTGCTGCTGCTGTTGCTGTAGCCGCAATTGTGTTTCTCCGTGTGGTTACTGCTGCTACTGCTGCTGCTGCTCCGGTAACTGAGACACTGGGCGTTGACTTGAAGGAAAAAAAGGCAGCAGCAGCAGCCACGGCGGCAGCAACAGCAGCAGCAGCAAAAGCAACGGCATGGACAGCGAAACCTCTCCGAAGCAAACAACTATCCCTAAGTGTCCACGCTACTGTTGCTGTTGCTGTTGCTGCTGCCAGAGTTGCTGCACGAGCCGGTCTTACTGCGGCTAAAGGCAGCAAATGCATGCGGTTGAAAGCGGGTAAAAGAGGAAAGGTTTGGCGTCGCAACAGCGACATCAGCAGCTGCTGCTGTTGCTGCTGCTAGTCGTCCTCCAGAAGCTGCTGCTGGAGCTGTTGCTGTTGCTGCTGCTGCTGCTGCTGCTGCTGCTTGTGAAGCCCGCGGAAGAGGGGGTGACAGCAGCGCAGCGGAGCAACAGCAGCAGTAAAAGAGGTGTGGGGCTGCGTGCTGCATGCGCTGGCCTTTAAATTCGCTACGTACAAATAAGAACGAGTGCCCTGACTGCATACATACACCGCAACGCTGAAATTCAGCTGTACATACACCTCCCGCTTGCATACAAGCTGCTTGCATGCACCCATATAGGAACAGTCAGCGGCTAATGCAGCAGCAAATCCAGCAGCAGCAGCAGCAACAAATCCAACAACAAACGCAGCACCTAATGCACCAGCAACGGCAGTAGCTGCTGTTCCCCATGCTGCAGCAGCAGCAGCTAAAGCAGCAGCAAACGCAGCAACACCAACAGCAACAACACCAGAAGCAACACCACCAGCTACAGCAGCATCAGCAGCAGCAGCCCCAGCACCAGCAGCAACAGCAGCAGCAGCAACAGCAGCAACAGCAGCAACATTTACCCGATCCTGGACTCCATGAAAGCATCTCCTCCCAGTGCTCGCGCATATATCCGCGTCAGAGGGAGGCCAACACCCCACCCAGAGAACAGCGCAGAGCCTGCAGCAGCAACAGCAGCAGCATCAACAGCAAGAACAGCAGCAGCCGATGCAGCAACGGCAGCAACACCACCAAACGCAGCAGCAGCCGCAACAGAAACAGCACACGCTACAGCAGCAGCAGCAGCACCAGCGCAACCAGCAGCTCAACAACTACGAGCGTCCGCTGCACCAGCATCAGCAGCAGCGACAGCAGCAGCAGCAGCAGCAGCAGCAGCAGCAGGAACAGCAGCAGCAGCAGCACAGTACCTGTCTGCCTCTTTCCGTCTTTGTCGGTAGGCGCAGTCCGCGTGGAGTATAAAAACTGCCACGCCAACTGCTGCTCCGTTCGGCAGAGGCCGCCGCCGCTATCGCTCACCTGCAGCGGCAGCAGCAGCAACAGCAGCAGCAACAGCAGCAACTGCAGCACGGAGCATGAAGAGGCAGCAGTAGCACAAACAAAACCAGCAGCAGCAAACGCCCATCAAGGCAGCGGAGAGCAGCAAACAGAAGAAAGACGATACCCTTGAGGCTGAGGGTGGTGGTGCTGCACTAGCAGCAGCACGACCACCAGCAGCAACGCCAACAGCAGCAGCAGCAGCAGCAGCAACACACATACCTTGATAACAACCCCAGAGTCTGCGGCAGAAATCAGGTGTATATCCACTGGCGGCATGGTTGAACTAGTTGGGCGAGGTTGCTCCTGCGGGTTTTGCTGCTGCTGCTGCTGCTGCTGCTGCTGCTGCTCTTTGGCAGGCAGCTCTCCGAGAGAAGGCAAGCTGTATATGCATCTGGAGTCTCGGACCGGCATGGAGTCCCATTCTCGCTGCTGCTGCTGCTGCTGCTGCTCGTGGCAACGTTCCTGCTGCCCGTCCTCCTGTTGCAGCTGCTTATTTTGCTGCCGTTGCTGCAGCAGCTGCTGGTGCTGCTGCTGCAGCTGCTGCTGCACTGTGGCTTCGATTGCATTCTTAATGAGCTCAAAGCAACCGCTGTAAACATACGCGGGGGCGCAACGGACTATTCGTTTATCGGCGGTGTATAGGGAGCTGCTGTTGCTGCGGCTGCAGCTGTTGCTGCTGCTGCTGTTGCAACAGCAGCCACCCGTCACGGTGGGACACCTGCAGGGCTCGCGGTTGCTGCTGCCGCCGCTACTGCTGGTGTTCGTGGTGGTGCTGCTGGCGCTGCTACTGCTGTCGCTGCTGCCGCTGCTACTGCTGTCGCTGCTGCCGCTGCTACTGCTGTTGCTGCTGCTGTTGCTGCTGCTGCTGCTGTTGCTGCAGCAGCAGACGGAAGACACGAAGAGTCGAACAGCAGGAGCGACCCCCAGGCTGCTGCAGGCCAATCTCTGTGCATTTGCTGCTGCTCGCAGCACCAGCGAATCCACTACACAAGGTTGCAACGCTGCACCCGTGGGGTTCCCTGCAGCAGCAGCAGCAACAGCAGCAGCAGCAGCAGTGTGCTTATTTCCATGCCAAGGCCCCCGCACAAGAAGCGCCAAACTGCTGCAGCACGACCCAATGCAGTGTACGCCCCACTCAAAGCAGCAGCAGCACCAACAGCAGCAGCAGAAGCAACAGCAGCAGCAGTAGCAACAGTAGCAGCAACAGTCAGCAGCAACGGCGCATTCCCCAGAGCCCAAACGACGGCGGGACCCACAGCAGCAACAACTGCAGCACCAATACCAACAGCAGAAGCAGATAAAGAAACAAAAGCAGCAGCGACAGCCACAGCAGCAGCAGCATTAGAAGCATCAGCAGCAGCACAAGAAGCAACATCAGCAGCAGCACCTGAAGCAGCATCGGCACCACTACCACCACCAGCAGCAACACCAGCGTCAGCACCGCCACCACCAGCAGCAGCTGCATCAGCATCAGCAGCATCAGCAGCATCAGCAGCACCAGCAGCAACAGCAGCAACAGTAGCTTACATCCTTCAAGAGCCCCTATACACCTTTCCCTCAGAATTTCTGCTGCTACACGCCCACTAAAAAATGCCTCCAAAAATTTGTCGCACACTGCCAGCAGCGCCGCCTGTTGCTTTCGGCTTGGCTGCTGCAGGGGCCCCCCGTGGGGGCCCCCTTGGGGGCCCCCCGAGGGGCCCCCCGTGGGGGCCCCTGGGGGCCCTCCCCCTGGGGGGCCCCTTGTAGAGCCCCCGGCTAGGGGCCCTATAAAATCTCTTATACCCTTCATCAGCTCGCCAACCAAACGCGCCTGCTGCTGCCGTAGCAGCAGCAAAGCGCTTCTCAAGGTCTCCCTACTAGGAAGGGGTGTTGCTGCTGCTGGGTCTCGGTCTGCTGCTGCTGCTTGCTGCTGCGGAGTATTTGCAACGGCTTCTTGCAGCTGCTGCGATGCCGCATATGCTGCTGGAGGCTGCTGCTCTGCTGCAGGTTCTGCTTCTGCTGCTGTTGTTGCTTCGTCTGCTGAACCTGCTCCTCCTGGTGAGCCTGCTGCTGCAGAGATCTGGGCAGCAGCCTCCCTCATTCGCTGCTGCTGCTGTTGCTGATGCTGCTGCTCCTGCTCCTGCTGTTGGGGCTCGAAGAGCTGCTGCAGCAGCTGCAGACTCTCCGCGTATATTTGTGCTGCGACTTGCAGCCCCGTGCAGTGTCTGTACACCTCAGGCTGCAGCAGCGCCAGGGCATGCAGCTGCTGCTGTCGCTGCTGGTACATAGTAGGGAGGGTACAGCGCATAGCATGAGCTACTGCTGCATCCACTTCATGCTGCTGCTGCTGCTGCTGCTGCTGCTCAGGGACGAGGGGCTCCAGTAGCAGCGGCGGACTTGAAGGGAAAAGAGCAGCAGCAACGCCTTCATCTAGAGTGGAGCATATTGCTGCGCTGCTGCTGCTGCTGCTGCAGACGGTGTCTACGCAGGGCAGCGCCCACAAAGCAGCAGCAAACTGCTGCAGCTGCACGGCAGCAGCACCAGTTGCTGCTCCGCTGCTGCTGCTGCTGTTGCTGCTTCTGCTGCTCTCCGACGGCAGCTCGCTGCCCCTAAGCCGCCGCTCACTCGCACGCACTGCAGCAGCAACGGAAGATGAAGCTACGCGTTGTCTGCTGCAGCAGCTGTTGCTGCTGCTGCAGCCAGGCAGACCCCTCAAGCATGAGGGCATCGCTGCGGCCGCTGCTGATGCAGCAGCCGCTGCAGCATCTGCAGCAGGAAATCCGCCTAGAGGCTCATTATCATCAGCCCTGTCCCTGCTGCGCGCACCGCTATTGATGCTGCTGCTGGTGCTGCTGCCGGTGCTGCTGCTGCTGTCGTCGCTGTTCCTTCTGCTGCCGCTGGGCTGGCTCCTCACGCGGGCGGGAGCTGCTGCGGCTGCAGCTGCTGCAGCCGCTGCATATATGGGAGCAGACGGCTCCTCCGTGCTGCCCTTGTCGTTCTTACATGTGCTGTAGCTCTTGCTGCTCTTGTTCCTGCTACTAGCCCTGCTGCTGCTGCCGCTGCTGCTGCTGCTGCGTGCACGTCGCAAGGAAGTAATAGACGGCACAGCAGCAGCTGAAGAGGCCCTCAGCAGCAACGTAGGGGGCGCCACAGCAGCAGCAGCTGCTGCTGCTGTTCCGTTTGCTGCTGTGGTCGGTGCGGCTGTTGCTGTCCTCGCTGCTGTCCCTGAAGACAGCACAGCAGCAACCATCCTGGCTACAGTTGCTGCTGCTATTGCTGCTGCAACTGTTGCTGCTGCGCCTCCTGGATGTTGCTGCTGCTGCTAGAATTTAATGATGCAGTGCAGTGCGGTGCTGCAGCAACAACAGGAAATACCACCGTTGACGGGCCGCTGCTGTTGCTGCTGCTGCTGCTACTGCTGCTGCTTCTACTGCTGCTGCTGCTACTCGTGCTGCTTCTGTTGCAGTCTATATGGCTGCTAGGGTGATATCTGTAGCGTGGTGCTGCAGCGGGTGCTGCAGCAGCTGGCGACGCAGCAGCTGCTGTTCCAGCAGCTGCTGCCGCTTAATCCGCTGGCTATAGCTCGGCCTACAGCAGCAGCAGCTGCTGCTGCTGCTGCAGCTGGAAAGCCTCCTGCGCCTGCAACCCCTGCTTGCAGCAAGGGTGCTGCTGCTGGCTGCTGCGAGCTGCTGCATTCATCCTTGCGATTGAGGCAGCCACTCTTCAAAGGGTTTATACAAAATAATAAACGAGCAGAAAAAGAATAATAATTTGCTGCAGCAGCTCCGTCGCTAAGCTTGACCTTCGTCTGCTGCTGCTGCTGCTCCTAATGCTGCTGCTGCTGCTCAGAGCGATGCAGTGACCGCAGACGCTGCTGCTGCTCCTGCTGCTGCTGCTGCTGCTCCTGCTGCTCCTGCTGCTGCTCGTGCGGCTGCAGCAGCAACAGTAGGACATTTGTTTTTCTATATTCGCACGTCTAGTCAAAGAGAATCCCCCCAACAACTAAACCCTAAACCCTAAACCCTAAACCCTACGGGCCGTCCGCAGCAACAACTCTACTGCCCCTCCCCGGTGTTGGAGTTGCTGCTGCTGCAGCAGCTAAATTTATTTTTTGCGTTCTTCTATTATTTATTTTTGCTTCTATCGGTTGGATAGTGTCTGTGTGTGTACTCTCCAGCATACCTTTCTTTGCTGCCTGCTGCTGCAGGTGCAGCAGCAGCTGCAGCAGCGGCGGCGCGGGTTGCAGTTAAGACTACCGCTGCAGCAGCAAGGCAGCAGGCCTGTCTTTGTATCAGTAGCAGCTGCTGCTGCAGAAGCAGCAGCAGTCACGATGCCAACAGCAGCTAGGAGCAGCAGCAGCAGCAACAGCTCAGGCAGGAGCTGCAAACAGCACCAGTAAACGCATACACTGAGGAGAAGCCAGCCACAGCAGCAGCAGCCACAGCAGCAGGAGCCACATTAACAGCAACAGCAGCAGCAGCACGAGTTTTTACTGCAGCAGCAGCAGCAATGTTGCATGTATCTGCCTCCCGCAAGTCATTTTTTCGTAATGGGTACAGCCGCTTGAGTGCTGCTGCTGCCTCTGAGCGCCGTCTTCACGTCTTCTTCGTTTCTTTGATGTTTCTGCTGCCTTCAATTTATGTATATACAGCTGGCAGCCCCGCGCTGCTGCAGTGGAGCATGCAGCGCTTTCGTTGGGTAGAAGTCCCTCCTCAGGCAGACCCCAGCATTCTTAAGAAAAGTCAGAAGCACCCTCATACAGACGCAGCTAGCTAGCTAGAGAGCTAGCTAGCTAGAGTGCTAACTCGTTTGCTAGAGTGCTAGCTAGCTAGCTAGAGTACTAGCTAGCTAGAGTGCTAGCCAGCTAGAGTGCTAATTAGCTTGCTAGAGTGCTAGCTAGCTAGCTAGTGTGCTAGCTGCCTAGACAGCTAGCTAGCTAATCAGCTAGCTAGCTGGATGATTGATTGTCTAGCTGGGCAAGAGGCTAGCTAGACAGCTAGCTATATGGACAATTAGCTAGACAGGTAGCTAGCTAGACAGCTAGCTGTCTAGCTAGCTAACTGTCTAGCTAGCTAGCTTGCTACAAGTGCCTGAGGCCCCAAACGAACAATATGTTTTATTACCGAAGGTGTGTATATGCAGGCTTGTGTGTAGCTGCTACAGACGGAGTGTATATACAGGGTAGGTTGAAACTACGCAATTAAAATAATAATAAAATATATTAAAGGTTCTTCTGTTGGAGTCTGCCCAGTAGCGGAGTTAGACAGAGAATAGACAGTGCATGCGACGCACAGTCACCAAGTTCAGGGTTTAGGGTTTAGCGTGTAGGTATTAAAGTTTATAGGGTTTAGCGCGTAGGTATAGGGTCTAGGGTTTAGGGTTTGGAGTTTTGGGTGTACGGACTGGGGTATGGGTTTTAGGGGTCTAGCTAGGGTTTAGGGCTTAGGGGTTTAGGGGTTTACGGTTTAGGGTTTAGGGCTTAGGGTTTGAGGCGGAAGTCAATGGGTTGTTTGCCCATTTCCTGGAGGAGCTCATTGCACTTCTTGAAATGACCGCACCCTAAATAAAATAAAGACAAAGATGCAGCAGCAGCAGCAACAGCAGCAAAGGCAGCAGCAAATACAGCACCAGCAGCAAGTACAGTAGTAACACCACCACCACCGCAAACGCAGCAGCAACAGCAGCTGAAGCAGCTCCAGGAGCAGAAGCAGCACCAGTAGCAGCAGCAGCACCAGTAGCAGCAGCAGCAGCAGCACGAACCTGAGAAGAAGCGGACAGCAAGAGGAGAGGGATGGCCTGCCTTGAGCAGTTTGTGCCGCAGTGGACAGACACCTGAAGATTTCTTCTGCGCTGCTTTGCCTGCGCATGCATAGAAATATAATTATTTATTTAATTTCCGGTTCTCTGAAGTATATTAAGAACGCCATTCTTATTTATCCAACTCATCTGGAGCTTTTTAAAATATATTTTGAAGATCCAGCCTGTAATATATATATATATATATATATATAACAAACCAGGTGTACGTACACCTAAAATAAAACAAGAAGAACAAACCAGCTGTACAGCATAAACAGCAGCAAAGCAGCCTTACCCCAGAGAAGGAAGATAACGCCTTTGAGGGTTTTGTTTATTACTGCCAGCACTTCGTCTGTAAATCTCTCCCACCCCTAAAGACCACACGCAAACGGTCTTAGGGTTTAGGGTTGAGGGTTTAGAATTTAGGGTTTAGAATTTAGAACTTAGGGTTTAGGGTTTAGGCTCTAGGGTTTAGAATTTAGGGTTTAGGGTTTAGGGATGGTTGGTGCACCAAGAAACTGCATGGCGCCTGTATTCAGGGTTTAGGGTTTAGGGTTTATACCGCGTCTTTGTGCGCCATAGGAGAGTCTCTCCGGACAGTAAGAATTGCATTTAAAAGCAAAACCCCTTGAGCTGCCCAGCTTGTAAGGTCTCCATGGGGGAGAGGCAAAGAAGGAGGGCCCGGTAAGGAGCTGTCTGTACACCCCAGAGCATCAACAACAGCAGCAAATAAACAACACCAACGCTAAATGTACATGCGCCGTCGAATCTGCTGCTGCAAAAGCTGCTGCACATTCAAACCGGAGATCTCTGGTTTAGCTGCTGCTGCTGCTGCTGCGCCACCGCAAGGAAGAGCAACAGCAGTACAGCAGCAGCAGCAGCAGCAAACAGTAGCAAGAGGCAGCAAGCGGCAAACATCAGCAGCAGGCAGCAGCAGGGGAAAATGGGAAAGAAGACAGAAAGGAGACACTCTAAACAATAAAAACAAAACAAATAAAAACAAAGACAGACCGATCTCTTTAAATATATTTATTAAACTCGGTGGAGGGCGGACGCCGCGGGGCACCGAAAAGCAGAGCCCCTGACAAACAAAACAGAGAAAATAATAATAAACACAATGAGACAAAAGGAGACAAAAGGAGACAAAAGGAGGTAAAAGGAGACAAAAGGAGGTAAAAGGAGACAGAAGAAGATAAAAGGAGACAAAAGGAGACAAAATAAAAGGAGATAAAAGAAGTTAAAAGCGCATAAAAGGAGAAAAAGGAGATAAAAGGAGACAAAAGGAGATAATGAGAGACAAAAAGAGACAAAAGGAAATAAAAGAAGGCAGAAAGAGGTAAAAGATAAAAGAATAAACACCGCATTTAGCAAGAGGCCCTTCATCTGAGAACGAGCTGCAGAGACACCTGAATCAACAAACGGGGATCAACTCCCCGCCAAAATGCCCCTTTAAGGTTTAGGGTCTAGGGTTTAGGGTTTAGGGTTTGAGGCTTGCCATAGCCTGGCCAGGCTGGTGGTAAGGGTCTTGCCCAACAATCACAACTCTAACCTTGTCGAGCCTGCAGCAGCAGCAGCAGCAGCAGCAGCAGCAAAAGCAGCAGCAGCAGCAGCAGCAGCGAAAGCAGCAGTTCAAGAAGCAGCAGCAGCAAAAGCAGCAGCAACAAAAGCAGCAGCAACACCGGCAGCAGCAGCAGCAGCAGCAGCAGGTGTTTAATGAAGTGTTTTCTTTTGAACAGAGACAGAGACAAATAAAAGGAGGGGAAGACGGAAGGAGAGACAAATAAAGAAAAAGAGAAAGAGACAAAAACAAAGACAGCAAAACGAAGAGATGAAAGAAAGAGATAAAGAGGAAGACACAAGCGAAGACACAAACAAACAAAAGACAAAGAGATAAAGACAGACAAAGACAAAGACACAGGCAAAAACGAAGACAAAAGCAAAGACAAAGACAGAGACAAAGACAAGCATAAACCCAAAGACATCAGCAAAGACACAGAGACACCGGAAGGCAGCGCCAATACAGCTGACCGCCCCACAGACGGAGACACAAAAAAGAAAATAATAAATAAAAAGAAGCAAGACATACGGAGTCGATTTAAATGCATTAAACACCAAATGCTCAGCAGGGTAAATTGCTGCCGGGTGTCTTCGCCTCTCCTCCGCAACAACAGACAAACAGCGGCAGAAGTAAGGCTTCTGCAGCTCTGCTCGAAGGGCCTCATACCTGCACAACCAGCACAAAACAAGAATGCTGCTGCTGCTGCTGCAGGTGCTGGTGCTGCTGCTGCTGCTGGAAGTGCTGGTGGTGGTGCTGCTGCTGCTGCTGGTGCTGCTGCTGCTTGCTGCGGGTTGAAGGAAGTTCCGCTGATGCTTAGAAACGTGAAATGGCTGCAAATTCAGTTGCTGCTGCTGCTGCTGCTGCAGAATAAGTTCTTGCTGCTGCTGCTGCTTCTACTACTGTCAGCAGCAGCAGCACCAGCAACAGCATCCCTTGAAACCCGTGGATCCCTCCGTACAGCGTTGGGGGCCTAGGGTTCGCGGTTTAGGGTTTAAGGGTTTAGGGTTTAGGGTTTACCAGCTGTCTCCAAGAGTCTGTCTCCACATCTTCTCTGCAGCCTCAGCCGAGACAAAAACCCCCGTTGGAGACACCGCACTTGCAGTAGAAGGGGCAGCAGGAATGCATGTTGATGATGATGATGCTGCTGCTGCTGCATCAACATGCATTCCTGCTGCTGCTGCTGCTGCTGGCTCTGGTGCTGCTCCTGTTGCTGCTGCCGCGGTTGCTGCTCCTGTTGCTGCGGTTACGCTTCCCCCACTTGGCTCACTCGCTGCTGCAGCAGCTGCTGCAGATGGTAGTGACTGGGTTGATGCAGCTTTTGCTGCTGTTGCTGTTATTGCAGCTCCTGCTTCTGCTGCTGCTGCTTTTACTGCTGTTGCTGCCGTTGCCGCTAGTGCTGCTGCTGCTTTGCACGCAGGAGCCATTGCGTCTGTAGGGACGGCTTGTTGGGGCTCCTGCTGCTGCTGCTCCTGCTGCTCCTCCTCCTTCTGCTGCACCGTCTGCTGCTCCTGCTGCACCTTCTGCTGCTCCTGCTGCACCTGGTGCTGCTGGAGCTGCTGCTTAGCTCTGTCCTGCTCTGCATTGGTTGGTGGCGGCGTTGTGGGGTTTTGATTTTCTCCGTCGCTGCTGTCAATCAGTAGAGCAGCAGAATTATCTTCGTTTTCTTCTTTTTTGTGTTTTGTTTGTTTTTTACGTACACCAAAGAAATCACTAATCGTGGCCTGGCGCTTCGTAGGCATTGCGAAATAATGCAGGTAGCTGAGGAGTAGGCAGAGAGAAACGCAGGAAGCAGCGGCTGCTGCTGGTGCTACTGTGTCTTTTGCTGCTGCTGCTGCTGCTGATGATGATGATGATGATGCTGCTGCTGCTGTTGAAGCAGCACACAGCAGCAGCGGCTGCTCTCAAAACTCTGCTGTTCTCGGGCGTACAGCCAGCTGCTGCGCAGCGACGCCAGCACAGAATTCAAGAATAAGAAGAAGCTGTATTTTGATTTAATTATTTTCAAATAAAATTAAAAGAATTAATAACAATATACAGACAAGGGCAAAAAAACAAGGCAGCAAACAAACCGTCGACAGACACCTGCGGCAGCCAGCACGACAGAGCAGAGCAGCGAGAGGGTAAAGAATACACGGAAAAGATTAATTAATTTTTTTATTAATGCGCTTATAATGATAAAATAATTAGTCAGTTGTTTTATTTAAACCAACAAACAGGCGAAATATACTACACAACGGTGCTGGGGGGCCCCTCTCCCGACCTCACCACCCCCAACCCACGGCCATAGGAGGCAGCAACAGCAGCAGCAGCAGTTTTTGCATTTGTTTTAAATTTTTTAATCAATTTTTAAATTTAATTAAGTAATGCAAAACAAAAAACAACATGGTTCGCCGTCGGGTGCTGCGGGTGCTGCTCCCTTGCACAGCTACGAACATCATCGAGGTGCTTCTGCTGCTGCAGCTATAACTATCTTGTTGCCGAAACTTCTGCTGCTGCTGGTGCTGCTGCTGCTAGTGCTGTTCTTGCCGCTGCTGTTGTTGCCGATGTTGCTGTTGTTGCTGACGTGGCTGCTGCTGCTGCTGCTGCTGCTGCTGCTTGTTGCTATTTCAGTTAGTGACGTTGCTGGCGTTCCTGCTGCGGCTCTTGTAAGTGTTGGTGCCGTTGCTGCTGCTGCTGCTGCTGCACGACCTGCTGCATCGAGTCCGTGTCTGTTCCATGCTAGAAGCAGCGCGATGCTGCTTCTGCTGCCGTCTCCTGCGTGAGTATGGCAGCTCGTGCTGTGTGAGGGGCTGTCTTGCTGCAGTTGGCGGACCCTCATCGCGCGCTGCTCCAGCTTCTGCTGCTGCTGCTACATCTGCTGCTGCTAAGCAGCAGCAGCAGATGCATGCACTGTTGCAGACAGCTCGATGGCAGCCCAAACAAAGTCCTAGTAAATAAACAACTAGTAAGAAATAGTGTCTGCTAGGTCCTGAGGAGCAGGATGCAGCAGCAACTACTTCTGCTGTTGTTGCTGCTGCTGCTTTTGCTTCCCCGTGCTCGTAACTACCTTGCACGGGAAGCAGCAAACTAAGCTGTAGAGACACCGCAAGGCAAGTATGCAACAGCAGGAATGCTTCTGCTGCAGCTTTGCTGCATCTCCATCCATCTGGCATATCACATGCATGCAAGGGATGGGCTCCTGCTGCTGCAGCAGCAACCCTGCTGCAGCAACGCTGCTGCTGCAGCGCTGTTGCTGCTGCTGCTCTGAAGGGACTGTAGTTTTAATGTCCTACTGCAGCAGCAAGCCCCAGAGGCGCGTGGCCTCAGCAACAGGGCGTGGGTGCCGCGTTGCCCTCTGTCAAGAGTTTAGGGTCTAGGGTTTAGGGTTTAAGGGACAGCACCGTGCAGCTGCAGCTGTTTGTATTTAGAATTCACTGCTTGCAGCAACTCCTGTCTGCTGCCCTCCTCGACTACGCGGCCGTCTTCAATAACAGCCACGCGGTCCGCCTCCCTCAGACTCTGCAGCGCTCACCAAACCCTAAACCCTAAACCCTAAACCCTAGCACGGGCTAGCCTAGACTGGAGAAGCAACATCCCCCGGACCCGACTAGACCCTTGCTGGAATGCAAAGACGCTGACGAGCCCCGCAGCTCAAACCCTAGCTGTAAGCTTATGCCCTCGGCCTGCCTCCTATACCCAAACCCTAAACCCTAAACCCTAGGAGCTTACGGAGGGTTTGTGCGCGATGGTAATAACAGTGGTTTTGCCCTTCAGGCGCCTCAGCGTCTCCGCGAGGGCCGCCTCGCTCTCCGCATCCAAACAACTCGATGCCTCATCTAAGATCAGCAGCCGGGGCTCCCGCAGCAACGCCCTGAAACCAGCCATACAAACCCCACGCCTAAGGGTTTAGGGTTTAGGGTTTAGGGTTTAGGGTTTAGGGTTTAAGCTTTAGGCGTCCTTCACGCCTACGGCGTAGGGTTTCGGAGACTTAGGGTTGCGCATCTCCGAGGGTTTAGCGTTCAAGCCTAGGATTCAGCTTTTAGGGATTCCTGTGGTTTAAGGTTTAGGGTTTAGCGCTTTATAGGGTTTATGGTTTAGGGATCCGTAGGGCTTTGAGCTTGGGACTGCTTAGGGTTTAGGGCCTAGGGTTTAGGGTTTAGGGTTTAGGGTTTAGGGTTTAGTTCTTAGGGCCCAGCTGGTTGGGGGCCTACCTCGCGACTGCTATTCTCTGTTTCTGTCCGCCAGACAGTCGAACAGCGCCATCTCCGCAGACAGTAAATAATCCATCAGGCAGCCGCGCAATGAAGGGTAGGGCGTTTGCTGCTGCTGCTGCTGCTACAACCCGCTGCAACAAACCTGGAGGCCACGCTGCCGCCTGCGGGTGGCGCAGAGCCCGCGCCAACTCCGCCTCATAGGAGCCGCTTCTATCGTCTATCCGCTGCTGCTGCTGCTGCTGGACTTGCTGCTGCTGGACTTGCTGCTGCTGCTGCTGCTGCTGCTGCTGCTGCTGCTGGTTGCTGCGAGCCCGGGTGGTTTGTGCAATCCAGGATTCGCTGGTGTGCTGCAGGGGCCTGAGGCCATAGGCGATGTTGTCTGCGATGCTGCGCCTGAAGAGCAGCGGCTCCTGTTCTACGTATGCAATTTGCTGCCGCAGCAACGGCAATGCGGAGGCCCGGAGGTCCTTCCCATCCATGTACACTGCGCCGCTCTGCGTACACTCACACGCGCACGCTCCTGCTGCTGCTGTTGCTGCTGCTGCTGCTGCTGCGCCTGCTGCTGCTCCTGCGGACGCTGGTGGCTGCTGCGAGCTATGATGGTGCTGGTGCTGCTGCTGATGCCGTTGCTGTTGCTTCTGTTCATGCTAGTGCTGCCACTACTACTCCTGCTGCTACTACCGTCGCTGCCGCGATCACTACTGCTGTTGCTGTTTTTGCTGCCCCAGGTGCTGCTATTGCTACTGCTACTGCTGCTGCTGCTACTCTTGCTGCTGCTGCTGCTGCTGCTGCTGGGTCACCTGCGGGTCATAGAAGCGCTGCGCGAGTTTCACAATTGTAGATTTGCCGGCGCCTGAGGGGCCAACCAGCGCCAACACTTCGCCTGGCCGCACGCGCAGCGAGAGGCCCTTCAGTATCTGCAGCAGCAGCAGCAGCAGCAGCAGCAGCAGAATGAGCCCCTCACTAATTATTGAGGCCGCCGAGATGCGCTACGCGTGCTGTCTTCCTCTGCCTTGCGAAGCAGCGAAAGGCCGCCACACCGCAGTAGCAAATGCAGCAGCAGCAACGACAGCAGCAAATGCAGCAGCAGCAGCGACAACAGCAAACACAGCAGCAGCAAATGCAGCAGCAGTGAAAGCGGCAGCAAAAGCAGCACTGCACCCTCGCCTCTCACCAGGGGGGCCTCAGTGCCTTGTGTCTGTGTTGCTTCATGCGCTCCTGCCGCCACCTCATACGCAAACTTAACATCTTTAAACTCCACCGATGCGGGCCCCCCATGGCCCTCGCCTGTACCCAACTGCTCCCCCTGGGGGCCCCCTAGGGGGCCCCCCTGGGCGTCACCCTGAGCGGCTGAGGCCCCCATTGAGGCAGGGCCTCCTAAGGCCCCTCCTGGGACCCCTGCTGGGGCCCCCTTGGTTTGTGTGGGCTTAGTGGGGTTTGTGATTTTGGGGTGTCTGTCGATGAGTTCAAAGTAGCGCTCAGATGCAACGAGGGAGTAATGCAGGTCTTTGTAAATGTCTGTTAAGGCATCGAGAGCCAAGTAGAACTTTCTTAAATAACTCCTAAAGGACATAAAGCGACCAATGGTCAGACCACCTCTCACCACGGAGCGCATCCCTGCACACACGCACACACACGCACACACAACCAACCCTAAACCCTAAAACCCTAAGCCCTAAACCCTAAACCCTAAACCCTAAGCCTGTGCCTTAAACCCTACGTCCTAGACGCAAACAATGCGGGCCACGACGCCTAACTAGAAAGGGCCCCAGGGGCCCCCACTGACAGCCCCCTGGTGCCTGCATGCATGCGCTGCTACTTGCATGCACTGCTGCTTGCATGTGCTGCTGCTTGTAAGCATGAGTTGCTGCGGTAGATTACTCACCAAAGGCAAGCAGCCCCAAATCAGTGGCCAGGAGCAGCAGCTGCTTCGCCTGCTTAAAGAAAGATTCCGCTATGACGCCCTCCCCCAACACGCGCAGTGACGCGTCCTGACAGGCACTGTAGCGCTGAGCAGCCCCACAAACGCATGCACGCACACGCATGCATGCATACGCATGCAGACGAATGAGGCCAGCTTCAGGCCTCCTCCGCCTCCTGTCTTCCCGATGCTACAGGTTCGACTTGGGGCTGCATCTTTGCTGCATGCATGCATGCGCGCATGCGAAAAGGTGAGTTGGGGTACCTGAAGTTCAATGGCCTCTGCGTCGTTGGCCTTAACGGTGTAGACGTTAGCCAACACCTCCGTGGCAATCGCAGAAATGTTCGCCAGCAAGTCGTTTTGCAGCAGCCCTGCATGCAGCCCCGTCCATGCATGCATGCAGTCACATTAATGCATGCGTGCATGCATGCGTACGTGCATGCATGCATGAAAGGCCTAGCGGACGCAGGTAAGGCTGCTGCTACGCCTTCTGTCGGTTTGTATAGACACCGCAGGAGACATAGGGCCCACAGAACAACAGACCCCCTCTATAAACCCTAAATCCTAAATGGCAAGCTAAACCCTAGAGTCTCATCCTAAATAATATGCCTTGCGCTAATAACCATACGCTGAACCATGGACCCTAAACCCCAAACCCCAAACCCTAATCCCTAAACCCTTCGACCCTAAGCACGTTGTACGAAACCGTGCGAAGGCTGCACGGCTCAATGAATTCAAGAAAACCCTAGACCCTAAACCCTACAAGACGTGTACGGAGTAGCCAAGAAGACGAAAAGCATGTGTAATCCTGCGTCTAGATTTTCACATCGAGGGTTTCGGGTTTAGGGTTTAGGGTTTACCTAAGTTGCCAATGGCGCGCGCTGCTCCCCCAGTGCCTACTAAGACGCAAGGGACAGCCAGCATGCCCAGGGCTGTCATTTCAGGAGACAGCCGGAACATTAAAAAGGCCCCCACAGATGCATTCACAAGAGCAGACAGCAGCTTCTGCGCTCCGCTTGTTACGACTTGCTGCATGCAACAAGCACGCATGCATGCACAACGCTATATGCTTGCACCCTAAAGTAAAGTTTAGGGTTTAGGGTTCAGGGTTTCAGTTTGCTCCCCCAGCAGACCTTAGAGGTGCGAGGTGGCAATTAAAATTCAGGTGTTGGTGTCGCCGGCTGTCATTTGGGTTGTTCCAGGATTCAGGGTTTAGGGTTTAGGGTTTAGGGTTTAAGGCTTGCCTGCATGTCTTCCGTGTCGTTTACAATGCGGCTTGCGAGGGTGCCGGTGCTGTTCAAATCAAAGAAAGCAGGTTCTTGGCTGCAGATACACCGCACGGCCCTCGTGTCAGTTTACGGTGTACAGGCAGCTCGGTGGGGCCCCCCGACCCAGCAGCAACAAACCCCTATATCAACAATAGAAAAGGGCTTTAAACATCAGCAAGCAAACAAAGATGGAAAAAGAAAAGCAACAAAAAACAGCCGCTCTCCAGTACAAACCCCATAAGCAATGCATGCATGCATGTACTGAATGCATGCTTGCATGCACTTATCTGCGTGCATGCATGCATTGATTGCATGCATAGATGCATGCATGCAGAAGGGGATAGGGGAGACCGACCGCAGCAAAGAAGCAAAAAGCCGCTTCTGCATGGCCACCACCAATCGCCACCGAGCGCATGTGAAGAGTGCATCCTGCGCGCAAACCCTAAACCCTAAACCCTAAACCCTAAACCCTAAAGGATAGCAAGTATCTATATAAATCGACTGATAGCAGGGCCAGCCGCCTACGGCCGTGGAGAGCAAAAGGCAAGGAAAAAAAGCAATCGAACATAAAAACAGAGACAAAGACAGAGAGAGAGAGAGAGAGACAAAAAGACAGACAAATAAAAGAGATAGGCAAGGATATAAACAAAAGAAAAGAGGCAAATAGGAGAGAAGACAGACGAAGATAAGAAAAAATAAAAACAAAGAGAGAGACAAACACAAACGAAGACAGAGACACAAAAAAACAAAGACAAATGCAAATAAAAACGAAGACGGAAGCAGAGGAAGGCAAAGACATAAACATATAAAAAAGACAGAGACAAATAAAAGCAAAGACAGGAGCAAAGGAAGGCAAAGGCAGAGACAATTTAAACAGAGACAGACAGAAGTCAGAGACAAAGACAGAGGCACAGAAAAACAAAGACAGAGATAAATAAAAAACAAAGAGAAGACAGAGACACGCATAGACGCAAGACAGCATCAGCAACAGCAAACGTAGAGGAAAACGGCCGCAACCAGATACACCCAAAAACGAGCGGTTGCGGGTAAACCCTAAACCCTAAACCCTAAACCCTCAAGGAGACACCTATATCCAAGCGTACCCGCGTCACAGACCCTAGCACTTCAACAGCAGCAGCAGCAGCTGTGCGCAGCACCAGCGGCAGCAGCGAGTTGGGGTTCTGGGGGGCCCCCCGGGGGCCCCCAGCGATCAAGAAGAGGTCTGAGGCCCCCTGCAGCAGAGGGCCCCCCTCCTGGGGGCACCCCCCCTTTGCTGCCAGAACAGCAGCACAATCAAACACCTGCCCCAGCATGTAAGACCTCATGAATGAAGCAGCCGCAACAACAAGAGACAGAAGTGCAGCAGGAAGCAGCAGCTCCGGAGACAACGTAGAACGCAGCTCCTTCAACAACCTGCACAAGCAGCAGCAGCAGCAGCAGCACAAGCAGCAACACAAAATGTGCACGCACACGGACCCCAGCGCAGAAGCAGCAGCAGCAGGACAGACTCGGAAGCCTTCCCTCCCTCCCTGAATGGAGCCGCAGCAGTAGCAGCAGCAGCACAAGCAGCATCAGCAGCATGAGCACCAGCAATAGGAGCAGCAGCAGCAGCTGCAGCAGCAGTAACAGTAGAAGCGGCACAGTCAGCAGCAGACCTGGCGAGCCCTATAGCCCTTCTCTTTGCTGGGGAGGCGGACGCTGGGTTGGACAACTGCGAAAGACAACTCCAGAGGCAGCGGGGCCGCTTAACAGCAGAATGAACAGCAGCAGCAAGAGGGGCCCCCCACGCTCTCCATAGTTGAGAGGCTACTGCCACCGTCCGTGCTGCAGCCGCAGCTGCAGCTGCTGCTGAGGCTGCTGCAGCTGCTGCTGCGGCTGCCCGTAGCCTTCCGCACCGACCAAGGTCAGGGGCCCCCGGGGCCCCCTGGGCCCCCACCCTCTCTTCAGGTGAGGCGACAGTGTGAGCTCTGAGAGACTGAGATCTCGAAAGAGCGCAGAGGGGCCCCCAGGGCCCCCAAAGACTTCCTGCGGGCCCCCGGAGGGTCCCTGGGGGCCCCCAGAGGGCCCCGCGTGGGGCCCCCCCGAAGTAAGAAGAAGCAGAGGTGCGCCCACTGGTGGCAGAGAGTGATGGAACGTCTCTAAGGAAGGAGGAAGCAGGAGAAAAGGAAGTGAGAGAGAATGGGGGGCCCCCACGTGTTGGGGGCCCCTGCCAGTCCTTAGCAAGAGGTGTCTCTCCGGATACACGGAAGGCAAGGGAGGAGGCTGGGAGATGAGTATAAATAAAAACAAAGAAAGGCAAGAGAAAGTAATTAAAAGAATGGGGCCGGTATACCCTCTGTTGTCTCATTTTTCTGGGGGGGCCCCCCACTACACTCGGTCCTGAAGAAGGCTGAGGCGGCAAATTGCGTGCCTGTTGGGGCCTCCCTTGTTGTGGAGGCCCCGACAGCTCTGCATACTTCAAAAACAAAAGGGCTTTAAAGCTAAAGACAGATAAAAAGACAAAAAAAAGAGAGGGAGAAAGCAGCATGAACACACAAATGAGAGTGCCGAGACACGGGGGCCCAGCGGGGGCGGCGGCAGCGGGGCGAAGGCGGCAGCAGTCAAGCATGCAGCTTTAAGGGAAAAGAATATTTATTTAAAATGTAAGCATCAATTAAACAGCATTATTTAAAATAATAAAGTAATTGTTAACAACAAACAACAAATAGAGCAATGTGCTAAACAGTGCAGTGGCCTCCTCGTCTACGCGCCGCTGCCGTCTCAGCCGGGTGTCTGTACACCTCAGCGCCACAATGTATATCTTCCTCCCTATTTAGAGGCTTCACCGGTAATTATATCTATTTAAATAGATTTTTCTCGAATGTTAATTGCCTTATTCCTCACGTACACCCCCTCCTCACGTGAATCCCACTAACTGCCTCAGCCGAACCCTGCAGGGGCCCCCCAGTGGGGCCCACAAGAGGCCAGTGGGGGCCCCCAAGGGTTCAAGGGGGGCCCCCAAGGCTTCAGGGATGCCCCCCGCTTGACGCATCTTTTTCCCTTTGTGTTTCATTTCTTGCCTCTGTTTACCCACCGCTGCAGCGCTCCATGCTCGAAGCACACAACTGGCCCAGCTAGCCACAGCAGGCAACAGCTAGCCACAGCTAGCCACAACTAGTTACAGCTAACCACAGCTAGCTACAGCTAGTTACAGACAGCTGATGCCCTCACTGCCCTAGACGCAGTGGGTGCCCAAGAGGGATCGCTAGAGCGGTGGTGTGTTGGAGAGCTTGAGGTGTATGCATAGAGCTCTGTCGGTCTGTGCTCTCTTTTGTTTGCGAAAACAAAAAAAGCAGAGAGGCCTGCAACTGAATCTGTTCTGCTGCTCCTCTGCAGCAGGTCAGCACCAGGGGCCCCTCAGCGGCAGGTAGTGTGTCTTGGTAATAGGAACCACAACCCGCTTGCGCAGCCAGGTGTAGTTGGCTGCAGCTAGGTACAGCTAGCTGCAGCGAGCTGCAGCCAACTGCACCTAGATACAGCGAGCTACCGCTAGCTTCAGCTAGCTACAGCTAGATAATACCGCTTGCCACAGATACATGCCGCCAGCTACAGCTAGCTGCTACAGCGTCTGCAGCTCTGTTTCTTGTTGCTTCGCTGCGCTCAGCACGGCCTGCAGATGTTCAATGCCTCCGCGGAGGCGAACGCAGAGGTCATCGCGTTGGTGCTGCCACTCGCGCTGCTGCCGCTGCAGCCGCGCTGCTGCTAAGCGGGCCTCTTCCTGCGCTCTTTGGCACTCCGCCTGAGCCTTCTGAACACCAGAACACCACCCAACGCTCCACCAAAAGCAGCAGCAGTAGCAGCAGCAGCAGCAGCGGTAGCAGCAGCAGTAGTAGCGACAACGTAACAGCAACTACGCCAGAAGCCAATCTAAAGAATGCGGCATGCCGGCAACAGGAAGGGCTTAGGGTTTAGGGTTCTGAGTCTACGGTCTAGGGTTTAGGGTTTAGGGTTTAGAATTTTATAGGGTTTAGGGTTTAAACAAGCACCCTTAGCTCATCCTTCAGCTGTCCATGAGTTTCCCTCAGGGCCCTGAGATTTGCTTCGTGCTTCGCAGCTTCCGCCTTTGCAGAGTGGAGCTGCTGCTGCTGCTCCCGTTGCTGCTGCTCATGTCGTCGGACCTGCTGCTGCAATTGCTGCAGCTGTTCTTCCGCCTTGGCGGCTGTTGCTGCTGCTGCTGATTTCAGGGTCTCCTGGGTTTTGAGGTGATTCTGCTGCTCCTCCTTCATTTGTTGCTGCACCTGCTCCAGCACCTTCTGCACGCACAGCAGCAGCAGCAACAGCAGCAGCAGCAGCAAAGGCTGCATGGCTTCCTTACCCCCGCTGTTAAGGTAGCCGAATTTAGGGTTTAGGGTTTAGGGTTCAGAGGCGAAGAGACACCTGACGACTGTTGAGGGCCTCGCGTTGTCTCTGTTGCTCTGCTTCTGCTGCAGCAGCCCTTGTTGCTAGCTGGCGCATCTTTGCTCGCAGGTCTTCTGCTTCTGCTGCAGCTGCTGTTGCTTCCTGCTGCAGCTCGGCAACTCTCTGCTCCAGTTGCTGCTGCTGCTGCTGCTGCAGCTCTTCGGTCTCCCGCCTCTCCTGGAGCTTCTGTCTCAGCTCTTCAACCCTAAGCGCACGCGCATGTGCCTGAAGCCCTAAATCCTAAACCCTAAACGCCTTCGCAAGCCGCAAACCCATATATATATATATATATATATATGTTTGTTCATTGGTGGTTTACTGCTGCTGAGTCCTTGTCAGGTTCGCTGTAATGCTCTGCTTCTCTTCTAAGGCTTCTTTTTCCCCTTGGAGGCGGCGCTGTGCTTCTTGCTGCAGTTCTTGCTGCAGCTCGAGGATACGCTGCTGCTGCTGTTGCTGCTGCATCTGCAGCTGTTGATGCTGCTGCAAAGTTCCGTCCTGCTGCTGCATGTGTTTGTCTTTTTCCTCTAGCAGCTGCTTCTGAAGATGCTGCTGCTGCTGCTGCAGTCTGTCAACTTCCTGCTGCAGCATTTGCTGTCGCCGCTCAGCTGCATTCTGCTGCTGTTCCAGTTCTGCCTGAATCCGCGCGGTATCCTGCTGCTGCTGCTGCAGCAGCAGCTCGGTCTGCTGCAGCTGCAGCTCCCGCTGCTGCAGTTCAACCAAAGGACAGCAGCCAACGCAGCAGCAGCGCCCCATCAAGCTAAAATGTGCGTTGGGGGCGTTATTCAAAGATTACCGCTATGTTTTTATGGTGTGTTCTTGGCTAGCTAGCTAGCTAGCCAAGGCTGCCTGTGGGGGCTGGCTTGCTAACCTGAAGATCGCTGAGGAGCTTCTCGTTCGTGTCTTGCCTGTCGTGGAGCTGCCTCTGCAACATGGCTTGGTGTTGTTGCTGCTGCTGCTGCTGTTGCTGTTGCTGCTGCAGTTGCAGCTTCTGCTGCTGTGCAACAAGGCGCGACTCGCACAGTTCTCTGTACCTCTCCTCCAGACTCCCCTGCGCCAGCCCCAGCCTCAGTAACTTCCCCTCCACAAAGTGCCTGGCTAGGTAGTTGCTAGCTATCTACTAGCTAGCTGCTAGCTTCTATAGTGAGCCTGCACTCACCTAGCTGTGCTCACCGCTAATTGGGTGCAGTTAGCTGAGAACCCAGCTAGCTGTATTCAGCTACCTGGGCCTACAACTAGCTGTGTTTGGCCAGCTAGCTGGGTTTGCTAGCTTGGAATACAGCTAGCTGGGTTTGCAGGTAGCTGGGTATAGAGCTGGTTGGGTCTATAGCGGTGATTACAGCCAGCTGGGTTTACAGCTAGCTCGGTTCACACCTAGCTGGGGCCTCATAGCCAGCTATGGTTACAGCTAGCTAGATTCGCAACTAGCTGGGTTTACAGCTAGCTGAGTTTAAAGCTAGCTGGGTTCACAGCTAAATGGATTAGCAAGCAAGCTGGGTTTGCAGCTAGCTGGGTTTGCAGCTAGCTGTTTTTGCAGCTAGCTGGAGAGTAGCTGTCAGTTAGTTATTTGAGAGCGGACGGACTTTCAAGAAGGCGTTTTCTTTGAGCAACTCTCGGCGCTCGTCTTGCATTAAGTTAGCTGCGAAAGAAGACAAAGGCAAAACCCCACATCGAAATGCCTTCTAACTCTAAACGCTAAACCCTAAACCCTAAACCCTAGCTCGGAAACCCTAGACGGATAGGGAGTGAGCCGACACTTCACTGTGGCTCCTTGGAGCTCGCAGATGCGTTGCTTCAAGAGCATGTTTTCCCTCCTTGTTTCGTTATGTCGTTGCGCAGAAGACGCCAAGTCCGACTCCAGGCGACGCAGCAATCGAGCGCTTTGCTGCAGCAGCAGCAGCAGCAGCAACAGCAGCAGCGGCAGCAGCAGCTTTACTGAGGCCTGAAGCACCCATGGGAACCCCAGCAGCAGCTGCATCTCACCTGCTCTGTGCTCTTTAGCTCAGCTTCAATTCTGGATACATAGTCATCGACTGGTTGCTGCTGCTTTTGCTGCTGGTTTTGCTGCTGCTGCTGCTGTTGCTGCTGCTGCTGGCGCTGCTGCATGCTGCTGCCGCGCTGCAACCCTACGGTCTCCTGCTGCTGCAGCGGCAGCAGCTCCAGCAACTTGTTGTTGTCAGCGCAGCACCTCGAAACTTCTTTTAAAGTCGAAGGCCTCGCCCCAGTGCCTAAGGGTAGCAAGATACATTTGTGTACATATATATATATATATATATATAATATGTGCGTTCAAATGTGTGTACATATAGACGTACGTGTGAGTTTGTGAGCAATCAACTCTACATAAAGGAGTGTACATATATTTATATGCGTCAGTATTTAAACAAATAAGCATGCATGTATATATGAAGACACGCATGAGTATATATATATATATATATATATATATATATATATAAACTGCCGGTTGTCAGCACTTAGGTTCGTCTGTTTCCATAGCTCTTAAATAGATGCACGTAGAACAAATCCAATTAAAAATAGCCCTAGATAGTCATGCATGCAGATGCAAATGCGCAGAAACAACTAGACATGTGTGACAGACCCGAGAGGTCAAGGGTTGTGAGGCTTCTGTTGGCTTTGAGAGACGCCGAGAGTTGAGCAGCGCCCTCTTCCCCGAGTGCGTTGTTCCTGAGGTGTATTTGCCGCAGGCTTCTGCTGTACATACACCCCAAAGGCCCTCGCAAGCAGCTCTAGCTAGCTCAGGCGCAGCACCCTCACCCATCACCAGCAGCAACTGCTACTGCTGCTGTTGCTGCAGCGGCAGCAGCAGCAGCCTAATAGTGCAGCTACCTATTTTTTAGAATGAGGTCGCTGAGGGCATTTACAGAACGAGGCCCCAGCTGACAGTGCGCCAAAGACAACAACTCCAATTCCTTTAACCCTGAGATGCTGTTGCACAGCAGCTGCACCGCGTCGGGACGGGTGATATCGCCTTCTGCAGCTGCAGCAACAGTAGCAGCAGCAACAGCAGAAGCAGCCTCAGCAGAAGCTCGAGAAGCTGCGAGTCAGTGAGTGCCTTTGCTGGGAACCTTGATACTCTTACTACTGCTACCACTGCCGCTGCTGCTGCTGCTGTTGCTGCTGTTGCTGTTGCTGCGGCTGCAGCCCGAAGGGAACATCGGTTTCCTGCATACCATCCCCTAGGGGGTTCCAGTCAAGCCTCAGCCGCCGCAGATACTTAAGGCTGCCGATAGCGGGGGCTATTTGACTGAACCCTCCTGGAGAAATGTTGTTTGCCTGGGCTCAGCAGCAACAGAAACCACACTGCGATCTTCTTCTGCACTCATTCCTTGCTGCAAGCAGCAGCAACAGCAGCAGAACCCACTGCGTAGGCCGGAGTTTTGTTGAGGGAGACGGCCGGGAGGCGGCGTGCCACTTTTTGTAGCTGGTAGCTAGCTAGCAGACTGCTATCCGGCCCCTATCTAGTTGCCAGCTACTTCAGTAAGCATAGGTGCAGCCAGCGCGGTGCAGCTACCTGGGTGCAGCTAGCTGGGTACAGCCAGCTGAGTGTAGCTAGCTGAGAATAACTAACTGGGTCGAGCTCGCTGGGTGCAGCTAGCTGGGACTACCTAGCTGTATCCAGCTTGCTGGGAAGAGTAAGCTGGGTAAACGTAGCTGAACACTCTATTTCACCCGGAGTAGACCTCAGTAGTGTTACTGTAGGAACATTCTGTGTGTTTTTCACTAAGTGAGCGATTACGAGTGCTGTGCAGCGGCAAAGCGCGTGAGGATGCGCTGCCGGCTACACACCGAAAGGTCCACTGAACGCAGCCCCATACACCTGAAGAGGTGCTTGGCGATGACAGGGCAAGCTTTGTCTCCTAAACATCTTTGAGGCAGCAGCAGCTCCTCCTTCATGCCCTCAGCTAATTCCCCCAGCACTTCCTCCGCCTGCAGCAGCAAAGAGCCGCTGCGACTCGGAGCACCCGCAGAGGCAGCGCCGCTGCTGCTGCTGCTGGATTGCCGCTGCAGTTGCAGCTGAGCAGGGACTCTGTTGCCTTCAGCCAACGGCTGAGACCAGAGACTCCCTCGGGAGCCTAGAGCATAGGGCTTCGCTTCCCTCTGTTGCAGCCCCTGCTGCATACGCTGCAGCATGCATCCGCCATCTATGCCAGTCATTTTCAACGCTTTGGTTATGTAAGCCCCCAGAGCTTGCCAATAGAAGACAGCCAGGAGTCCTTGGGCTCCAGCTCGCCGTCTGCCCACAGTACAACCATATATGGAAGGCCTTACGTACACCCACCACTAAAGCCTGCGCAGCAGCAGCGAACTTCTACTGCTGCCAAAGGCCCTACATGCATTAGCAGGACTGCTGCTGGTGCTGCCACCCATTGCTACTGCAACACACGGGTGGCGTTGGCAGTCACCTGCAACGTCACAAGCTCACAAATGGGCCCGGATGCCTCATTTCTCTCCTCTGTTAATGCTTTTACGTATTTGTTTTGCTTTGTTCTAGTGGGAAGTTCAAGAAATGGAATCAAAAGCTGCCAAGCGGCAGAAGGCTGATAATGATGATCTCGTTGCTGGTGTCCTCTGGGCACTCCGCTACACCAACCAGAACAGATCTGTAGTTTTCTACGCTTCTCTCTATCTGCCTTGCTTTAAAATGTGTTTTGTTCACCTCGAGAAGACAGTTGAGAGCTAGAGAAATACAAAACAAGCATATTCACTTGCCCGTCCAAGCTGCTCTCGGGCAACAACCCCGGACGGCCACGTGGGGCTTCAGCATGCAAACAAACTCCCTAACTGAAGTGAGGGTGGTACGCGTTAAAAGGCAACATTACACGCCAGAATAAACCTCAACATCTGTAGGTCGCCCCAGCCTTTGCCACAGGTCTGTTACACATACGGCGTCCTCCTCAATACGGCGAAAGAGTAAGACGAGTTTTGTATAGAGATGCGTTACTGCGCTATAGATTTCGTCCACCTATACACCGCTTAACGGTCACTCTGTGACTAATGTACAATGAAGCGTGCAGATTCAATGCCTTCACCTGCACGCCGCGTTGTAGGCGCGGAATATGAAAGTTCCATAGTAGTCTCGCCCAGAAACATGCTGCCCTGATGAGGTTGGAGCAGAATGTTTCTGGAAGCTCCTGTAGATTAAGAGAAATCGTCGGGCTTGTTGTTTGTAGGCTTTAACAGGAGCCCCCGACGCTAGCCGTGGGCCGCTGTGAGCTGAAAAGTAGTCTAAAGTATTGGGCTTCGGATTACCCGCAAGAGGCAGCAGCGACCCCTTCCAGCCCCCAGGAGTCCTGGCCCGCAGCGGGATACGGCTATGGCGTAGGTGGGGAGAGGAGACAACCTGTCTCGAGTTGAAGCATTGATTGGTGCACCGCCTGCCGCACAGCAGCGCCACATGCAAGCCCCTGTGGTTAAGATTCAGTGGTTTAAAACCTGCTTGGCCATATGTAGCGAGCCTACGTGCAAGCATAAAGGCACGCGCCAGTTCCACGCAAGCATACCAAGTTCTTTAGGCCGCCAGAAGCTATGCTTTGGAAGCATCCGATCCAATGTCGCATTTAGTCCCCTCCGCGTTAGAACTTCGGACTATGGGAAGCGAATGCCTGTAGTGCACGGGGTTGAGTCGCAAGAACGGCTTCAACTGTTCTCTTCACAAGCCCTCATCAGATGGTGCACCACTCCACTACGGGGAAGACTTCAAAACCTCAGTTTTGCGTTCTGTCAAGTAAAAAGAGTAATTCTCCCTCGCCGGGGTCGTGCACGGCTTTTCTGTAGTACGTGTAAACTCCGCAAGTAGTGTATTCTAGAAATTACGAGCTTTTTTGGTTGCTCGAGGAGTTTGTGAGGCTCCAGTATGGCAGGAGTTGCAGCAGAAAGAGGTAAAGGGAGCACGCAAGTCGTCCTCATGTAGTTATTCTCAGTGGCCAAAGTTCAGAGGCTCAATTGAAATTCTTCCTAGCTACCTGAAGCACTAATCCGTGGAAACCTGGCCGGAAACTCACATCGTCCGAGTGATGGAAATGTCATAATATTCTTATGAGTGCTCGTGTGCTTCCGTTATATCGCTATTGGGGGCTAGGGCGGGCAGGACAAAAAAATTACTAGCAGGGACGGTGGGAGAGTTCGCTTGCTGCACGCTTTTTCTATTTCTGGAGCTCGAAACCATCAGCGTATTGGAGCTTAGAGAGGGCAGTGCTCACCTGTAAGAAGTGTTCCCCAGATTCCGCGATTTCGCAATCCATCCGCATTATGCAATTTGCCAACCACCCAGTAATCCCAAGCACGTGTTTTACCAGGAAGTAAGAGGCATGCATGCTTCCCCTGCAGCAGCATCGAGTAACCCCGAATAATGCATCCCTGAATAGCCTCTACTTTAGGGAATTTTATGGTGGGCCGTTAACGATACCAGCATACGCAGACGTACTATGCTGTCATGACATGAGTTGCGCTTGTTACAATGACGCTGACAGAACCCGCTGGGAGTCTCGCAACCCTTCAAAAATTGAAATGGCCTATTTTCGTCCCCGAGGAAAGTAGGGAAAGTTGCGAAAGGCACATACGAAGAATGAAAGCTGCCGCATGTAGAGGCAGATGCTCTAGTGAAATACGCATAGATGGTGCAGCACCAAAACGCATGGAGAGTTGGTCCCATAAGTTCGCACGCTTCCGCTGGCCCTTCGGTTTCCGGGAAATTAGGGGGAGAGCTCAATTGCACAGCACGCACTAGGGGGAAGCTCTCCGGAACTTCTTGGACCTATTGAACTGTATGGGCTGATTTTTCGCACGTTGCTCCTATACGGGGCCGCCGAGAGAATGTCTACTTTGTGGAGGTGCCGATCCGCACTAAAGATAAAACACAAGTTACAAGTGATTTTGGGGTTGCTGGTTTCTTGAACGTTAAACTTGGCCCCAAATTCGACTTTGTTTTGCCTTCAGAAAACTCGGTGGGTTCTACAAGGTAATCTCATGAACAATGTTGCGCTGCGTGAACAACTGCCTGACTCCGACTTGGTGCCCCTCAACCGTTCTTGTTCTAACAGGCGTACGTGCCAGGAGGTGGGATATTTCTGGAAGCTAAGTACAGGAACTAACTACGCAAACCCTAAACCCTAAATGATAAAGAGTTGCTCAGGGTGGTGGTAAGCGTAAGTTTTCTAGTTTTAGGTCTTGTCTTTCCTAATAAGCACCCTTGTTTTAACAATATTCTGCCGATCTAACAATCTTTTTCCAGTGCAGAGCTTGGTTGTTAACAGCTGATCTTATTCATTGTCAATTCGGTCATCTGCATTTGCGAAAGGAACACCGCTGGACCGTTCACCAGGTATCCCAGTGAGATGTACCGTCAGGTGTAGAGAGAAATGCATACTTATAGCTGTGATTGTGCTCTTTCAGATACTACGCTCTCTAACGAAGCGTGATAGGGAAGTTCATTCTCCTTGTAGAATTGTACATCGCAGAACGAGCGCCGCTGTTGCTGCATGGCAAATAGATGAGGAGAGGGTTTTCGAGTAACCTGGGCGCCAGAACATTTCCCGGCCATACTGGAAGCACTTGCATCCGGTACAAACTACCTCAGCGATGATAAAAAAAGGGGCTCGCCTGCCGCTTGCTAGACTGCTGCACTACTTCATCGTGTATCCATCTACATTTGTGTCTTCGGTAAAAATGCAACGGATGCAAGCTGCTGCAACAGACGCTTTCCTAATACGGAAACACTTTACATTGGTGCAACTACCAGTCAGTGGCCCTGTAGGAAACTTTGGAGTGGTATTTGCTCACTCATTCCGGTATCGCTGTTGGCACCGTGTCTCGTCCAACCCGGTTCGTTACGGCCTGTGCCGCGCTGTGGCTGGCGTTGATGCAGGCATAAGCACAAAGCTGTAGTTTTGTGTTTTTGCTTGAATTGCAAACGGTAGCACTTCGTCTAGGCTTTTTAATGCCCTGCACTGGACAAGCCCCATCAACAACTGCATGCGCGTCACGGGCCTGGTGCAGTACTGTAACGGTGCGCCAGTGCTAGCTCTATTTTTGAACTCTAGGAAGGCAGAGAAATCTGTGGAATTCACGAGGCTGCGTTCCCGTCTAAATGGTGTTATGCCGGTTAAATTTTTTCCAGTATGTAGACTAGCCACTGAGGTGACTCTTTGGCTAATTGCAGCAGGTCCGCAGTACTACTTCGCACTGAGAAAATTACCTCTTAAGGTATTTTGTCTTAGTTTAGGCCTGTTCCCAAGCCTATCGCAATATCTCTTTTTTTAATTCTGGTTTCTCCAGTACCGGCTGCTCTGTGGACGCCTACTGCACAGCGGCAACGACCTACGACTCTGGGAACCGTGCATCCCTTACCTGCCTGCAATGGAAAACTCCGTCAGTCTGTATAAATTGAGGGTTATCCGCTTTTAGAGCCGCTTTTCGAAAAAGCCAGGGGCCACGCCGCATGAAGGCTTGCAATACACGGCGTCGGGCCTGCTCCAAAGTTGACCCAGTGATACGAACTTGTGTACAACATTGGGGTTTCCGCAATAAATGCTGTCACAGCAGACACCACGAGCAGTTCGGACTGCAGAAACTTGGAAACTGGTGTTCCCTTGCATGCACCATATGCAGGCTCAAGTAGGCAGTATGCCTGCTGCCACGGAGGCCCAAGGAAAGATTGATAAGTGTCAAGGACAAAGCTCCAAAACTTGCTCTTGCTCTGTTAGCCGCTTGCTTGACGGCACAAATGCCCAACAACTCAGCCTAATGAAGGCAGAATTCGCCCGTCATGGCGGGCGTTTAGACTTACAAGAGGTGAGGCTTGGCAAAAGAGCTGGATCGTCCTTCTCAGCTTGTTATTTGAAGTTTGGGAGTTACATGAAGTATGTATGCATCCCTGGTTTGCGCTAAAAGTGTCAGACCCTCTCGGCAGATCAGTCCGTACAGCGGCAGTAAGATGGTGCCTACCTAGCATCCCACCGTAGTATCGCTTGTCTTCAATTGCCAGCATCTGCCTGCGAACTGGACTGTCCATTAGTTTGCGGAGCTGATGTTCCAAATAGCGCCTTGGAGCACACCGGACGGCATGGAGGACTCACTAGTGAGCTTGATGAGACCAAAATGGTGCAGAAATTCTGCCTCCTCTGCTTTGTTGATGCTCTGATCAAGGCACTCTCAGG